TGCAAAAAATGGAATTCTACTTAAGTTGCTGATAAATGAAGATGCTTTGCCAAGTGAAAAGGTAGAGAGGCTCAGCTCGTTTGCATTGCCATTCGTATTTGTTTTATAATTTCCCTCAGTTATTTTGCGGAACTTCATTTGAATTTCTCCATCTATGGATACTTTGTTTAGCTGAGGAAGATGGGTGGTTCAAGTTCAACTCTTCGCAGTTCAAGATTTTTTACGACAAAAGGAAATGGCACCAAGCTCAAGCTCATTGTAACTCTCTTGGCGGCGACTTGGCGTCTTTTCGATCACACACAGAATACCGATTTATTCAACAAAACTTTTTTTACCGTAAGTACAAATGTATACTCGGGGATTCCTTAAAGCGAATTCATTGAGAATGCTCTACATGCAATGCAACAACTGCCACAGTGATTTAGGAAATTTCAGAAACTGTTGATGTTTTGGATTATCTTCAATGCACCAATCAACGTACCCATCAATGCGCTTTCCAAATTGTCACCAGCTGTCATGATTTCCTTAATCGAAACGAGGTTCTCTATCTCGTTCACGTGACCGCTTTTTAGTGGTTTACCGTTACAGTTTCAACGCGAAAGTGAGTTATTTTGGGCTTGCCATAATCGTGAAAAGCCGCTCTTTGCAATGACGACCAAAAGCACAAGTTCAGGCACGAACTTCTTAGGTCATTGGTTCAGCTCTGCACTTAGCCGTTTGCCGTAAACGTGATGCTTGGACCCTCTATTCATATTTTTGTTGTTTCTTCTTTCCTGACAGATGATTTCTTAATCAGCACACGCCTCGAAACTTACAGGTAATATCATGAATGTCATGTGCGTGCTCGAATCACTGTGGCCTTCGTCTTCCATTAAAAATATTTCAATTTTTCAGTTTGCACAAGGGGGCAGTAATAGTAACCAAGGACTCCCGAAAGGCCATATACTTTGACGGAATTGATGACTATGCAACAATACCAAAGTTCGACATTCGTAAAAGCGACTTTACTATCGCATTCTGGTTTAAAGGCGGAGCAAGTAGTTATGGATTTTGGAACATCTTCCACGACAAAAAGAGCAACAATAATAAGCAGTTCTCCATATATATTTGGACATCAGGCAGTATGGCCTTCTCTTTTTACAATACTCTCGGGAACGTGTTGTGCAAGGGAATAGGTTTGAAATCAACTAGGTATGTGGACTGCAAAATCATGATATTTTTCAATTAGAATAGGTATAAGCTATGTATGACATTAACGATCATTTTGAATTTCATGTAGTCATTTTCCCATCGGAAACTGGTATCACATGACTGTGACTTGGAATAGACAGGCTAAGGTGTGCAAATCATACGTTAATGCAGTTCTGAAGAGAACTGGGGTTTCGATTGAATCAAACTTGGACCTGCATGAAACTGGAGAGTCGTTTTATGAAATTGGTGGAGAAGACGGGATGTTCAAAGGGTGGATAAGTGAATTAGTTGCTCTTCCGCAAGAGTTGAAGCAGTACGAAGTCGAGAATTTAAAAGGTAGGATTTCASCCAGTAGATAATGGTAAGGTAGCCCTGATTTCGGAGCCTGTCAATCATTTTGCTCTCATTTTTGAACATTTTATATTTGCATGACGGGTGAAAATAATTTATTCCCATCTTAGGTAAGTTTGATTGATTTATTGATGCGCTATTATCCTGCCGTTCTTTCAGACGGTCGGTATTTTGGAGCATGGATTGGATTAAATGATATCGACAAGGAAGGTACCCTCAAGTGGTCTAACAGCAAACCGCTGACATACATGTCTGCAGTACAAAATCAAGACCCTGTCAAGGATTGTGTGTATTTGAGAAAGGACAGTGGATCGATTCTAACTTGGAGTCTAGAGACATGCTCTGACGAACATCCATTTATTTGCGAAAGAATTTGAATGGAAATCAATTAATTGATTATGTTCACACAAAAATAGGGTTCTCGCATATAAACAGCTTCGTCAGTTTCCGAACGTTTCGTCTTATTTTAGCACCATTCAAGTATAGACAAYAATGACATCATTACACTTAGACCTACTGATCGTCTTTAGCCCGTTCACTTGATTAACCACAGAAAGAACTTGCATGTATTACAAGGCATCACATGCTATCAGCCATAGGCACATAAGGATGCACAAACGTTTACAAGAAAATTGTGTTGATTCTGTTTTAACATAATCTGTACGATATGTCCTTATTATGATAACGCTTTGATCACAAATATGACGGTGATCGAATAGCAAATGCATGTTGTTTTTTTGGTGACGAACAAATAACGTTTATGGCTACCTTGTCTTTCGTAAGTGACCCCAAAGCGYACTTTCAGTTGCCATGTCATCTTCAATGACAAGTGGAACCAAAAATCGAAAGCAAAATTGATTGCACATCAAATATCAAGATCTTTGAAATATGCTCGAATGTGCCATGAATGTGTGAAATTTAATTACTAGAATAAAAACTAATAACAAAATAAACGATCATTTAGTGTGCCACCTTATTAATTCTAAAATTGTGAACTTAAGATTATTAATTTTAATCAGTAACCATAGTTTTTAAAACATTTTTTTATTCCTTATCTTTATAACTGCTATATGCTTAATTCCTCTTAAACTACRTGGAAT